GCTCATTGTTTGCCTGAAATCTTGTCTTGTGTCCATCTTATTAAACATAATATATGCTCCAAAACGGCCACAAATTGAGCTACCAAAACTCCTTTAAAGACCTTCTTTGCCAGTGGTTCCAAAGTGTGGGCCATCTGAATTGCATAGCAAAAGAAGGAACTCTTACACTTTGGGACCGCATGGATCAACCTAGAAATTATTATGCTAAGCAAAATGAGCCAGTCAGAGAAAGACAAATACCGTATGATCCCACTAATATGTGGAATCTAATGAAAAAAATAAACTGATGAACAAAATAGAACCAGAGGCATGATACATGGAACAGGCTTAAAAATGTCAAAGGGAAAGAGGTTGAGGGGGACTGGATAAAGGAAGGTGAAGGGATTAGCTAAGGAACATATATGCATAGTCCATGGACACAGACAATAGTGTGGTGAGGACCAAGGGAAGGGGGGTGGAGTGGGTGGAGATGGGCAGAGGGGAGAAACAGGGGACATCTGCAATAGTGTCAACAATAAAAAAAATTTAGTTTTAAAAAAGTGGTGAGAGTAGGCATCCTTATCTTGTTTCTGACTTCAGAGGAAACGCTTTCAGGTTTCCATCATTGCGTATATTAGTGTGGACGAAGGGGGCCACATGCTAACCTGATAAGCTCAGGGGAGGCCTGCATGGCAGTCTTGCAAACTCAGAGACCTAAAGTAACCATAAAGGATGGTTTGAAATTAAACTTTAACTGAAAGCAGTTATGGTGGGTAGTTACATCCTAGGCTGGTATCTTCACTGACAAGGTCATCCTTTACCTTAACGGAGCCTATCTGTCTTTTTGCATCTGTAATAACACTAGAGGCCCAGTGCACAAATTTGTGCATAGGTGGGGCCTCTCAGGGTGGCCTGCAGGGATCAGGCCAAAACCCACAGTTCAACACTGCCTGTAACTCCTACCTGCTGCTCCCGCTCATCCGCTCATCCCGGCCCCACTGCGCCTACCTCGGGTTCATCCCCAATCAGGAGAGGCTCATGCCGCAGCACTTCCCAGCCATGAGCCCTGTGTCTGATGCCCTCCCAAGGGGAGTGGCCTGCGGGATTGGGCTGAAACAGGCTCTCAGACATCCCCCCGAAGAGTCCCGGATTGGGAGAGGGCACAGGCCAGACCAAGGGACCCCACCGGTGCACCATCAGGGCAGGAGAGGGACTGCGGGAGGGCTCCAGGGCATGTCCAGCCCCGACTCGTCCAGTCCTGATTAGGGCCGATCAGGACCAGCTGGCTGGGGGGTACGTGGGAGGTTGGCCAGCCAGGTAGGGACCGCAAGAGGGCTCCAGGGCATGTCTGGCCCATCTTGCTCAGTCCCAATCGGCCGGACCCCAGCAACAAGCTAGCCTACCAGTTGGAGCATCTGCCCCTTGGTGGTCAGTGCACGTCATAGCGAGCGGTTGAGTGCCCTTGGTATATCATTAGCATATTACACTTTGATTGGTTGAACAGTTGACAGGTCACCGGACGACTGGACACTTAGCATATTAGGCTTTTATTATATAGGATACCCTTGAAATGTCTGGATAACTTTAACTTCCCTTTTTCTGGACCACTTGGGGCACAACCTAATGTGCCTGGGCTCCAGGACAGAAACCACAAATTCCTTCATTGTTATCATGTTAATTGTTCCCGCACCCACCTAAGTATGTGTCTATCATTTTACTTTTTATCCAATCTCAAGTGTTTCCCCTCTTTGCTTTCTCCTGCCTCTCTAATCTATCACCAATGGATTTCATGTAACCCACCGACATCCCTTCCTCTGATTGCAATGTATAAATCAAGATGTAACCTGCCATTCTCCAGAGCATTATCTCAATCCGTTGAGGTTCTGCTTCCCGGCATTTGTTGACAGTTTGGCTCAAATAAACTTATAAAAATTCTTTACAGGTTTGAACATTTTTATGTTAACATTAGAAATCGGCTTGTAATATATAGCCTTTATTATCTTGAGGTATATTTTCTCTATACCTACTTTGTTGAAAGTTTTTATCACAAATAAATGCATATAATTTTTATTTTTTGTTTTGTTAATGTGTATTATGTTAACTGATTTGCAGTTATTGAATCCTTGTGTCCCTGGACTAAATCTCATTTGATTATGATAAAAGATCCTTTTAATATATTATTGAATTTGGTTTGCTAATATTGCATTGATAATTTTTGCATCTATGTTCATAAGGGATATTGGCCTGTAATTTTCTTTTTTTGAGGTGTCTTTGTCTGGTTTTGGTATCAAGGTAATGCTGGTTTGTAGAATGAGTTTGAAAGCCTTTCTTTTTCTTCAATTTTTTTTTAACAATTTGAGGAAGGTAAGCATTAACTCTTCCTTAAATGTATGGTAGAATTATCTGTAAGCTATCTGCTTCTGGACTTTTGTTTTGGGGCATTTCTAAATTGATGACTCAATTTTGTTACTAGTAATCAGTCTGTTCAGATTTTCTGTTTCACCAGACAGATTAAGTCTTGGAAGATTGTATGTTTCTAAGAATTTATTTATTTATTTTAGGTTATCCAATTTGTTGTCCTATAATTGTTTGTAGTATTCTCTCATAATCCTTTGTATTTTTGTAATATTGGTTGAAATTCTTTTTTTTCAATTCTGATTTTATTTATTTGGACCCTCTCTCTTTTTTATTGATAAGTCGGACTTAAAGAAATCAATTTCATTTATCTTTTTAAAGAACCAATTCCTATTTTCATTGATCTTTTCCTATTTTTAGTCTCTTATTTATTTCTGACCTAATTTTTATTATTTTCTTTCTTCTAATAACTTTGGGATTTGTTTGTTCTTTTTCTAATTTCTTTAGGTCTAAGCTTAGTTTGTTTATTTGATATTTTTCTTATTTTTTGAGGTAATCCTGTATCATGATAAACTTTCCTCTTAGAAATTATTTTCCGTTTTGCATAACATTTGGAACTATGTTTCCATTTTCATTTGTCTCAAGATATTTTTTTAAAATTTCTTCTTTGAATTATTTGTTAACCCATAGGTTTAGTAGCATGTTCTTTAGCCTCCACATGTTTGTGGGTTTTTTTCCAGTTTTCTTCTTATAATTGATTTCTAGTTTCATACTGTTGTGATAAGAAAAGTTGCTTCATATTATTTCAGTCTTCTTAAATTTATTGAGACTTGTTTTGTGACCTAACATGATTTATCCTGGAGAATGTTCCTTGTGCAATTCAAAAGAATGTGTATTCTGCTGTTTGTGGATAGATGTTTTACATATATCAGTTAAGTCTATGTGGTCTCATGTGTCATTTAATGCAAATTTTTTGCCTGTGGGTATCCAATTGCTCCAGCACCATTTTGTTGAAAATAATATGCATGTTCCATTGAATTGCTTTTGTACTTGAGTTGCATAGACCTGTGTGGGTTTATTTCTGGGTTCTCTGTTCTGTTCCATTGATCTATGTGTCTATTCATCCACCAGACTACACAGTCTTTATACTATACCTATATAATGAGTCTGGAAATTGGGTAGATTGATTCTTTCTATTTTACTTTTCTTTTTCAAAATTGTCTTAGTTACTCAATTTCATTTGCTTTTTCATATAAACTTTAGAATTAGCTTGTCTATATCAACAAAATATCTTACAGGGGTTTTTGAAAGAATTTTCATTAAAGTAATATATTAATTTGTGAAGCATTGAAATATTTACTATAGTGAGTTTTCCAATCCATGGACACACATTGTCTCTCCATTTATTTAGATTTCTCTTGATTTCCTTCACTAGCATTTCCATTTTTAACAGATAAGTCTTGTACAACTTTATGAGGTATGTAACTATTTAATTTATAAGCACTTGTAAATGATATTGTACTTTTTCACTTTCCACGTTTATTGAAAAGTACATAAAATGTAATTAAAATTTTATGTGCTAATTTTGTATTTTACAACATTGGTTTAATAATTTTCTATTTCTAGGAGTTTTGGTGCAAATTCCTAGGAATTTTATGCATAAGACATTATAAATTTTTATTTCTACCTTTCTGCTCTGAATGCCTTTTATTTCCTTTTGTTGCCTTTTTACACTGGCTAGCATTCCAAGTATTATGTTGAATGAACTTGGTAAGAGTAGGTTTCCATGCTTTGATTCTAAGTTCAAGAAGAAAGCATTTTATCTTTCAACATTAAATTTGATGTTAACTGTGTGTTTTTCAGATGTTTCTTAGTAAACTGAGGCAGTCCCACAGTATTCTTAGTTTTACTTATTTTTTTAAAACATAAAAAGGGTGCCAGATTTTAATCAAATGATTTTTTAAAATATGTTTTTATTAATTTTTAGAGAGAGGAAAGAAGAGGTAGAGAGAGGAACATCTATGAAAGGGAAACATTGATCGGCTGCCTCCTGCACGCCCCCTACTGGGGATTAAGCCCACAACCTGGGTATGTGCCCTGACTGGGAACCAAACCCACAACCTCTTGGTGCATGGGAGGATGCTCAACCAAATGATCCACACTGGCCAGGGTATTAGAGCATTTTTTCATATGTCTCTTGGCCATCAGTATGTCCACTTTGGGGAAGTGTCTATTTAGGTCCTTTGCCCATTTTTTAATTGGATTGTTTATCTTCCTTCTGTTAAGTTGTATGAGTTTCTTATATATTGTGGATATTAACCTTTTATCAGATGTATCATTGCAAAATATATTCTCCCATACAGTGGGCTCCATTTTCATTTTATTGATGTTTTCTTTTGCTGCGCAGAAGCTTTATATTTTGATGTAGTCCCATTTGTTCTGCCAGCACTTCTGTCTGGCATTAAAAAATGTCCCTCCAACTCTTACCTCAAAGCCAGACAATTCAGTTCCTCCATTTATGTCCCTGGCAGCGTTCAAGCTGCTGCCCCAGCACTGAGGCTTAGAGCTAATGAGTCCCAGTAAGTCCATGCGTGGGCCTCTTAAGAGGAACATCTGTGACTCTAGCAGTCCTCCAGCTCACTCAGCCACAATCACCACTGGTTTTTCACAGACAAAAGTTTGAGGTCTTCCCTTCCTGGCACTCAAACCCCAAGCTGTGGCCTGGTGTGGGACTGGGACCCCTAACTCCTCACAGACAGACCTCCACAGCTGAGATATCCCTCCTGATTTTTATTCACCACACGTGGGTGTGGGGGCAGCCCATCCCATGTCTCCAGTCACTCCTCGCAGTCTCGATGTGGCTTCTTCCTTATAGCCTTAGTTATAGGACTTCTTTTCAGCTAGATTTCAGGAAATTCTGGATGACTGTCCTGTAGTTTAATTGTAATTTTGCTATGGTTGTGGGCGAATGCAAGTACCACATTTACCTATGCCACCATCTTGACCAGAAGTCTGTAACTATCAGTTTTGGCTTTAAATGTGACCTTTTTCACAGATTTCTCCTCTAACCACCCTTTCTAAAGTAAATATGCCCCTTTTCCTTCTTTATCAATTCATCTTATTTCCCTTTAATGTTCTTATCCAATGTACAGGGTGGGGCAAGAGTAGGTTTAGAGTTGTGAGTATGTGAAAGTTTATTTATTCTTGCATTATTTTTTTAAAGAGTGTTGTAATGTACCCCGCGAATCACAGAAGGATGCCTCAAGAAGTCGAATTAAAGAGTCACATTTATTTATTTATTTTATTTTTTAATATATTTTATTGATTTTTTACTGAGAGGAAGGGAGAGAGATAGAGAGCTAGAAAAG